TTTTTTTTTAATGTTATCGTACTCTTTCGAAGGAATATAACAATCGAAGCTAACGGTGATACACATTTACCATCCCATTACACACTCATACTCACTGATCAGAATTGCATATTTTCAAGAGAAAACATATTCCTATGCCACATATTAGTTTATACTTGCGCACCATATTATTGTTATCGCTATGATTACCCTACGATTTGTATTATTATTATTAATTATTATTATTAATATTATTATTAATATTATTAATATTTTATTGCTATAGTTTAATGTGACGTTAGTACAATTCTTGTCATTTCGGGTCGATCGACGCACCTATGCGAACCCCCATGTTCCACAATGAACACGGATCATGATATTATTTATCGCTAATAACGATATGAACTGAATAAAAAAAAAAAGAAAATAGTATTTGCAATAGAAAATAATCGCACAAATTAAGTTTTCCACGTTTTTCGTTCGAAATCTATCGTATGTTCCTTTTTTTCTTTTTTCTTGTTCTTCCAAAGTTAATCGCAAATGAACGAATTGACCGACACTTTTTTTTCATGTTTCCGTTACGAATGCTATTTTTGTTTGATAACGAATCACAGAATTTTACTAGCGTACGTGCATAAACGAACGAGGGAAATATTTTGTGAATATAAAATAGCGAGTAGCGAACGATACGTCGCGTCGATCGAACATCGCTACTTTTTTGTAGATACTAAAAAGAGTGTTTGGAGAAAAAATATTTCAAACGGCGATATACTCCCTCGATTCGGTCACTATTCATCTAACATTTCAACACGCATGAAATACGCGCTCATACTTTCTTGCGACACGTAACACGGAAAAACGAAACGAATTTTCAAGCGAATCAGTCTCGTTCGCTAATTTTACTGAGGTACTTAATTTCTGAAAGTGACAGGGTGCAATTTTTTATGGCATGTATTCGTCCTCTAATATTTTACGATTTGAATATTGAATATTGAGAACTTTTCTGGAATATCGGGAGTTGTTTTCGAGCTAGATGAAAAAAAGTTGAACGAAAGTTTTGAAACAACTGTGAAAAAGGAAATTCGAAGTTTTAAGCGTCGATTTTATTTGAAAGGAATATGTGAACCTCATTGTTGAAACGTGAAATGGAACGTATGAACAAAATATTAGACAGAAAACTCTGACGACGTTCTAAAGATTATAAACAGCGCTTTAAATATATATATATATATATATAATATATAAATATATATAAATATATATAAATATATAAATATATATATAATAAAATATATAATATATATATAAATATAAATATATATATAATATTTATATATATATATATACGTATACATTTGTGTACAAAACAGAAATATAAACCTCCTAAATAAAATGAGCTGGCCTCTGCAAGCCCTGTTTTACGTAAAAAATACGTCTTTTTATTTTAAAATCTTCATTTTGAAACCTCTTTGTTCAGAAATAGGAGAATATATCGATATATTATCCTTATTTCTAGCATCACAATTTAATCATTTCAAATTATATTTCTTTTATTATATTATAAATTTTATTATCTTTTGTTATATTATAAATTTTATTATCTTTTATTATATTATAAATTTTATTATCTTTTATTATATTATAAATTTTATTTTATTTTATCTACTTTTAGTATATTCTTTCGTATATCTTATTTATTTTCTTTAGTATATTACTATAACTAGTGACTCTAGCCAATAAAGAGGGCGTTAGTGTTCAAATAAACTTCCTAACCTGGTGTCTTTTTTGAGTTTAATATTTTTTAAATACAAATTTAAATACAAGATTAATATTTAGATTTTTATTAAAAGACTTCTTTACAAATATTAACACGATGATGCAATCTAAATGTACGTATATATAAAGGTATTTATATATAAAAAAGAAAATTAGAAATGTTGATTTCTATTAGGTTACAATCTCATACTGTCTGTTATTGTCACGTTTTGAGCTGTTAAAAAATTTATATACAGCAAGTTTAGTCTACGTAGTTTTACATTATATTATTTTGAATTGTTTATTAGACACGAAAAAGAAAAACAGCGTAATGGATTTATCAAGTGGCAACACATTGTCGAACAAAACAAAAAACAATACATTTGAAAATGATTCAAATACATTATTGAATGAAGAAACAAATAATACAATTACAAATATGACAGGAAATGAAATTTTCAAAAATTTATCTTTATTGAAATTGCAACGCCTTCCTGATGAATTTACTAATTATGTTTCAAAACTTGTTGATCTTAATTTGTGCAATAATCATCTTCATGCTCTACCAAGCTCTTTGAACATGCTAACTGGTCTAGTATCTTTAAATCTAAATAATAACCAATTGTATTCACTCCCAGATGTAATTTGTGAATTAAGCAATCTAAAGAAATTATGGGTTTGTGAAAATAAAATAAAACAACTTCCTAATAATTTAGGAAATTTATCACATTTAGAGATCTTATGTTTAAATATGAATCAATTAACGAATCTTCCAAATTCATGTGCAAAATTAAGTCAATTAAAAATTTGTTGTCTCAATGTCAATAAATTTAAAAAAATACCAAATTGTATAGCCAAAGGAATGAAAAATCTGCAAGTCCTCGAGTTGTCACGTAACAAACACATAAATTTAAATATTTATCCCAAGAGTATTAATTTGACCACATTTTACGCAGAAGAAAATGGTAAGTGCACTTCATTTCCAAAATGGATATTGAGCTCTAGCTATGAAAAGCTTGAAACAGTATCACTGAATGAAACTAGATTTCAAAAATTCAATTTGCTAAAAAAGACATCTATATGCCGTATTAAAAGATTATTCATGAAACAGTGTGATCTGGACAGTAAAATTATTGAAAGCATAATCTCAGAAATGACAGATATTGAAGAATTAATAATTGGAAATGATAAAATATTTCATCAAAATTATTTTTCATTCATGCCCATTAACATGAAAAAAGACCAATCTAATCTCAAAACGATTGATATACAAGATACTGGACTTCTGGAAGTGCCTAAGACAATAGAAAGACTTGTAAATCTGTCAGACTTGAACTTAAGCTCTAATAACATTTTCTTCTTACCAGAAGAAATATGTACTTTGAAGAATTTAAGCACTTTAATAATAGACAACAATCATTTAGCAAGTCTTCCTGAAAATATTGGGAAATTAACATCCTTGAAAGAATTAAAACTACGTCACAATGAATTGAACAAACTGCCTGAAAGTGTAAGCTTATTACACAACTTAGAGTACATGGATCTGTTCGATAATGAATTTGAATCAATGCCAAATGTAATAGAGAGCTTACCAAATTTGAAAGGACTGGATCTAGAACAAAATTATTTCTCAACTGAACATTTATGGGTAAGAGCATAAAAGAAATACAATTTATATTTTTGGCTGAAATCAAGCCAAAGATATAACTTTGTTTAAGATCAATTTAACAATTCATTTATTTAAAAAAAAAAAACATTACCATGCATTTTTTATATTAATAAATCAAATCATTAGCATAGGTATAAATATATGAGAGATAATTTGAGAAATTATTGGAATTCGATATATTATTCGATATGTACGAATTCTATATATGATTGTGAATTCATCTCTGGAGTCAAATCAAAGTCATTATCAAATACAACGAATCTATCATCATCATTGAATTTTTCTGAAAGTTCTTCGCTCAAAGCAGAATATACTTCCAATCCGTTGTAAGTTAAAATTAATTAAGTTAAATTTTCTTATTTTGCTTCCTACTGAAATATCATTTTTATTTTAGACCATATGATGAGTACAAATTTAAGGAACATTGGGATACTTCGGAAGATTCGGCCGACGAATTTGATCCTCACGGTAAAATAAAATTATATAAATTTCATAATTCTACCGACACGATAACCATTTAATTAAAACATGTTCATGTCTCTCTCTTATTGAAACGAATGCATTTGTAAAACATTTATAAATCTTTGATTCTGTGTAACGATTTAAATAAGTATTTGTAATAATATACATATTTTATTTCCAGAAAATAAGGAACCAAAGCCACGAGTCTATCCCCCTTTCAAGTTTTATCAGCCATATCAACAAATATTTTGTCCTTCAGACTTTCACGAGACTCGCGTTATAACACGAATTAGAAAGATGTTACAAAACGGGACTTTAGTTTGGTCATCAAATCCTGAGGAAGGCCAATTCGAAGATCCCTAAACTAAAAGACTGATAGTCATACAAAAGATAGTTCAATGATTTTTAATTGAATTATATAATATTACTGAGTTATATTATATTAATATTTTTACTACATTATTATTACTTTTCATTTACATTATTATTGCATTTTCATTACTTTATTACTTATTATTACTTATTATTTTTCATCAGACAATTTTAAAGAAAAAAATGTGAATTAAATACGTTTAAGTTAATAATGTTTAATAGAATAATAGAATTCTTTGGAATTCTTACCAGATTTGATAAGTGATTCTTTAACTATCTTTTGTTTTTATACTTAATTATTTACTTATTTATTTAATTATAGATAGAAATACTCAAGGAATAATTTAGACAAACTAATAATAAACGCATGCTGTGTTTTTGCAGATGATTATACATATATAATTGTGGAATACAATTTTTTTTTTCTTGGTAAATAATTCACATGAATTATTTTTACAATGAGTTTGTAAAAATAAGCAAAGACTGATAGATAACTGTTATCATTAATTTTTATACAATTATTTTAAATAATCCTTTTTTGGAGAATACCTTTTATCAACATATAGTTATTATATATGCAATTTATATACTTGTACAATTTAATTTTGATCATGTTATTCTCGTGGTCCAAGATATAAAATCTTTCCACAGTACAATTTTTAATTCTAATAAGAGATACATTCCATATATGTATTAATAAAAATTATGTAGTACAAAAATTGAAATCAATAAACATTTATCTTTGTATATTTTCGTATATACTTTTAATACAAAATTGAAACGTAATATTTAGTTTTATCACCACCTGGTAAAAAAATTATAAACAATATAACTGAATCTTTATAATCATTGCCACAAATGCCACATTGCTTTGTAATCATATTGCCACAAATATTTCTACAATAAAATAAAATAATATATATTGAAAAATGGAGCTTTTAGTTGATGGTTTAAGAAAATACATTATGTTTGAATGATTTGTAGCTCTTTTACAAATGCTTTGCCTCGTGCGAACGGCAAAGTTTGATTTACGGTTTTGAAATATATCTCTTATCATTTTTTGTGGAAATTCAAGTGCATAATTTCTTACCTAGATAGTAGATATTTCTGCTGATGACAATGATAACCAGTGATATCACAATTTTTTCACGGAACGAAATTTTATAACGTAACGAACGAACTGCAACGGTCACTGCAGTAACGCGCGCAATTCATTTCGAGAATCGAAAGATCGATACTCTCGAATTCAGTAAAGGTCACGTGACACTTCTCTTAAACGCGGGATTTTATAATTTTGTTTCATAA